TGAATATATAAAATAATATCAATCAGTACTTTTGATCTTTCAAATAGGAATTGAAGTAGTTAAACATTTAAATTGGATATTTTATACAGCAACCTAAATAATCAAATTTTTATTCCATCCATTAAATTGCTTTTGTATCCATTTAAAAGGTAAAATTAAAAAAAAACAATATTCTTATGCTCTTATCATCTAATAAATAGATTATATTAAAATTTTACTTTGATTTCATGAGTCTTAGGGTATGCTAGATCATACATCAATTAAACCGTAGCGTATTAAGGATCTGATGGAGTAAAAATTTACTCCTATGCAATATCAATTCCTAAAAAATTGCTATTATTTCTGTTAAAGTGAAAGTTACAAAAAAAATTAATGCCGTGCTTTGAATATTAGAAAAAAAGTTTCTTATCCTTCATTACTGTTCCAAGTATTCAACTGATTGCCACTATCAATATACCAAAAGCCCCTCTCAAATACAGACTTAAAATAAAGTATTATGCTTAGTTTTAAAAGCAATCACATTTCTACATAGATGATTTATGCATTTTTTATATATTAAACTCGCTCATATAACAGAAGATACCTTTAACTTTAAATTTTATACTAGATAATTAATTTTCTTAAAATTTTGAAAAAATTGTAAGTTTTTTAAAGCAATCTCCCTAAAAAGTATTTTTAATTTACATAATATTTGCATTATAATAATATCATAACAAAAAAAATAATATTAGTTATATAGATTTTTTAGAAGAGGTGATAAAGTGAAAAAAATATCAAATTAGCACAATTATGAAGATAATTTTTGTATTTTATTCAACTATATTAAGAGAATTATCCGTATAAAAGATATAGAGTAATTAATAATTTATATTTTTCACATCTAATCTATTGCTTGCTTGATGATTTTTGTGATTTTGAATAAATAATCAAAAATATTATTTAAAAATATTATTTAAAAATGGCTGTTGGTATATATAATGAGAGAAAAATAAATTTAATTAACTTTAAATCATGTTAACTAATTAATTAAAAACTTATAAATAGTACTATTTTGCAAAAAAAATGATAACTTTTAATTTACTAAAATGTTAATATTTAAATTTGATCAAAAAATGAAGATTAAATAAATTTTTATTCTATAATTTACAAAAAATATCTAAAGTCAATAAAAAGACTTATTGTAAATAATACAATAATTAAAGCTCTTTAATTTATTTATTATTTTTAATCATTTTTTAGAATAAATGTAAATTATATTAATTATGTAAATGAAACCTAAGTCAATTTCGACTTTTCTTAGTATTTGAAAAATTTAATTTTAGTTATTCCTTTATATATAACAAGTAATTCAACTTGGATTAAAAAGGTTTAAATCTCTTAAAAAAATGATTATTATTATATAATTCTAAATTTAATTTAGGATAATAAATCTATTAAGATTCAAATTTTAATTCTAGATAATCAAAACTGTTAAAAAATTAAGATAAAAGATGAAGCTAATATGTGTTATAAAATAATCTGAAGATAACATATGATTGAGAAACTGAAAATTCAACATATTATTCGAATCTGTTAAAACCATTACTTGTAGTTAATTTATGAATAGTTAAAATAAATTATTATTCTGTCTGAAAAATTAATGTAATTTCCAATTTAATTAATTACTATATATTTATATTTTTCAAAACTTATATTAGCGTTACAATTCATTTCATTTTAATTATTGTTAAACTAAATAATTTTTTTACAAAAAAGTAGGTCAAAATATTCATTATTATTTATATTAAATCATGTAAAATTATTATCCCCTACTTACATAATAAATGGTTTGTAATTTTCAAATGCATGGTTGCTCTTAATTTTAATAGATTAATTGTATTAAGGTAATATAAAGTTCAATAATTATTCATAATTTACAATTTTTTAATCAAATTTAATCTTCAATATAATTTAAGTGTTCCAATTAATACTTATAAATCTAAATAATATTATAGACCTTTAGAAAATTATGGAATGTTTATCATATGATAGCTCTTTTTCTAACTCTACTTTAGATTATAAATTTTATTAACAAATATGTATTATTATTAATAAATGAATGATTATTTTGATATCAATCAATCTTCATTAACTGAGTAAATTCAATAGTAGTAAGGTATTTAAGAATTTGATAAAATCATTTTTGATTACTCTAAATAACAAATGAAAAAAACAAAAATCACAATCATCTTTACAAAAAATAAGGAAATAAAATATAACAAAGATGGACATATCATAAGAGTGTAATATTTTATTTATTTTTAACCTTGATAGAGATTAATTTAAAGGCGAATAGAATTAATAACAGATTTTGAGTAATTTAGACTAAATCAAATATCTTTTATGGTAAGGAATATATGGGCAGGATAATAAAAAGGTTGGAATATGGACTGCAAGTTGGTAGGGAGAATTACTAAGCAATGTTGGCGGTTAATACTCAA